ATAGCCCTGGCTAACCTGGAACTTGCTATGGAGACCATGCCTGTCCCAAAGTCACAGAGATCCTCCTGCCTCTGCCTTCCGCTGGATTTAAAGATGTGTGCCACCACACCGTGCCTGGCATCACTTCTTCTCTGATTATTTTTGTATTTGTGTGCGAGTGTATATACACATGCATGTGCAAGTGTGCACCTATATGTGAAGTCAGAAGAGGATTTCAGGTGTCCTGCTCCATCACCCAGCACCTTCTTCTCTTGAGAGAAGCAAACCTGCAACTAGGCCAACAGGCAGTCAGCCCCAGCAATCCACCTGTCTCCACCCCACCCCACCCCACACAGTACTGGAATTACAGACAAGCATATGACCACTCCCAGCTATTATGTGGGCACTGAAGATTTGAACTCAGATCCTCCTCATTGCTCAGCACACACTCTGCCTGAGTCTCCTGGGCCCAGGCTTTGATTTCATTATGCTAGAACACCCACTGTACCGTCCAGTCTTACACACACAGTTCGATGAGCTTGGTTTTGTTTCCTTAGACTGAGCTACACAAGGCAATTTTCATACCCAAAAAAAAGTGTCTTTTGAGCACATCCCTTCCCCTCCCCCTCCCCTGCCGCTCCCCTCCCCCACCTCGTTCCCCTAGCTGGTTTCACTTCTATTTTCGTGTCCTCTGCACACAGAGATTTTGGGCAGCTGTAGAAAATCTAGGACAAGAGAGATTTCGGGTATTCACGTGGAGCCAATCTTAGGCATGGGTCATCCATAGACACCCAGGGTGCCTCTCACAAGGCCTCCCGACAGCCAAGGCGAACTCTCCCCTGCATTATTCCATAAGCCTTGCTTCGCCTGCCCTGGCCTTCACACGAATGCAGTCACACAGGATTGACTCCTCTCTGGCCTCCTTTACGCGGAAGGTCTGGGGAACTCCTCCAGGTTGGGTCTTGCTGAGTCTGTGCAGCACATTCTACATATTTACTATATTTTTTTTTTCCATTCTACCACCGGCAAGCATTTCTATGTGGTGAAAGATGTGTTCTGGCCTGGGAATACAGCTCAGTGGTAATGTGCTTGCCCGGCCCGTGTGAGGCTCTAGGGTTAATTCTCAGCACTGAAAACAAAACCAAACACAAAGCGTGTTTGGGTTAGACAACTCTAGATCCAGCTTCGTTAAGTCCAGTTCTGCTGACAATGTCCTGAGCACCCTACCCTAAGTCAGTCGGTACCTTCTCTTGTGGTGGATTGGATGAAAATGGTCCCCATAGGCTCATATATTTGAATGGCTGGTTCCCAGTTGGGAGGCTACTTCGGAAGGATTAGGAATTGTGGCCTTGTTGGAGAAAGTGGATCCCTCCCTGGGAGTGGGCTTTGGGATTTCAAAAGCCCATGCCAGGCCCAGTCTGTCTGTCTGCCTCCATCTTTTGGATCAGATCTTTAAGCTCTCAGCTGCTGCTCCAGGGCCATACCTCTGCCTGCCGCCATGTTCTCTGCCGTGATTGTGGACTCACCCTCTGAAACTGTAAGCAGGCCCCCAATGAACTGTTTCCTTTTATAAGTTGACTTGGACATGCTGTCTCCTCACACCAACAGAGCAGTCACAAAGACACCTCCCCAGCATGCTTAGCCAAGGCTGACTTTGACCGTGTTGTTGTCATGGAGTGACCTCATGGCCTGTTTGGTCTGGTGCTTGCTGATCTGGACATCCATGGCAAACACAGATGTGGGTTGTCCTCCCAGGAGTGGGGGATGGGATGGCCACCTGAGCTCGTTGTGCTTCTACTGGCTGGCTTTACTTCGAGGGATCCTAGGGTCTCCCTTTCATTAAACAATTTGGGGTGCACAAGGCACGGTTTGTGTGCAGTGGTCAGAAGACAGCCTATGAGAGTCAGTCCTCTTTTTCTGCCATGTGAAGCCCAGAGATCAGATCGTCAGGCTCAAGCGCAAGCACCTTTCCCTGTTGAGCCCCCACACCAAAACTGTTTATTCTTAGTCTGCTGGGCCAGCAGCACTTGAGATTTAGGGAATTATTACTAGTATGAAGTAAAACTACATTTTATTGACACTGATAATTCTCTTGTCACCTCTAGAAAGGGCTTTGTGACTCACTAAAGCCTTTAGAAGAAGAAATCACTTTTAAAAAGATATTTGCATGTACTTGGGCATTTGGTTCTGGGTAAATGTTCGATTGAGTAACAGTGGCATCACATGAGTCCCCCCAAGCCTTCTGCCTCCAGTCCTTAGCTGTTTTAGAAAAAAACAGCCTGTGGGGTCAGCCAGAAGGCTGGGGGCCGGAAGGGGGCAGGATCAACAGGCTGCAGGAGAGAACCCGTTGTCTTCTGGTCACAATACATACACTATGACAGGAGTGCTTCTTGTGTGTGCACATAGGCACACATTGAAGGCAATTCTAAGACAGCTCAATGTATGCTAGATTTGGTGGTGCATGCCTGTAACCCTGGACTGCAGCAAAAATATTGCAGGTTTGAAGCTAGCCTGAGCTACCTAGTGAGTTCCAGGTCAACCTGAGCTACATAGTAAGACTTTGTTTGTTTGCTTGCTTGCTTGCTTGTTTAGAAAAAAGATGAAGAAGGGGTCTGGGAAGTGGCTCCGTGGGTGGGAGCACTGGCTGTGCAAGCTGAAGACCTGAGTTCAAAGACCCAGCACCCTTGGAAAAAGCCAAACTATGGCTGTACGTGCCAGCAACCCCAGCACTGGAGGGTGGAGACAGGTAGATCCTGGGAGCTTCCTAGCTGATGGGCCTCACTGAAACAGTGAGCTTCCAGTTCAGTAAGAAACTGTATCTCAAGGCAAGAAGGCACAGTGGTAGAGGAAGACACTGCCAACACACACACACACACACACACACACACACACAGAAACACACACAGAGACAAACACACACAGAGAGGAGAGAGAGAGAGAGAGAGAGAGAGAGAGAGAGAGAGAGAGAGAGAAATACACACACACGGAAACTTTTTGAATTTCACCTTAAACAAGCAATTAAGAAATTTATATGGTTTAATATTCTTTAAGGGAGGGGCTTTGACTTGGGTTTGGATCACTGAGCCATAGGACAATCTTGGCCAGGTCCCTTCTCTCCACAGAGACTCAGTCTTTTCATTATTCAAAGGAGAAAATCAAATGGCACTTGAAGTTGAGAGGCATTCCATTTTGCAGGCCAATTCCAGTCAACTGGTAATGGCTTACAGGAGCACTTCCTAGGGGATCCAAGTTCAGCGGCAGAGCATTCTGAGATCGATTGCTGATGTCTGCTGCGGTCAAGAGTCTGAAAGGGGCATTTGGGCACCCTTTCCTCTTCTCCACCAGCTGCAAACTCCATGGTGACCTTGTGACTTTGAACAAATCACTTCACTGCCCCCAAGATTTTGTTTCCTTGTGAGACAAGATGAAGATGAATAATCCCTGCCTTCCTACTCCACGAGATTGCTCAGAGGCGCTTGCGAGCTAAGTGGGTGAAAAATGGAGATGGGAAGAGCGGAGCCTTCTGTGAAGTGAAGGTTGATTTTTATTAATTGACCTCTCCGGGGGTGGATCCTGTCGTCAGCCCTGGACTCCTCCGCATCAGCCTTTGCTCTGACCTTCAGCGTCCTCTTCTCTCGGGACTATAGGGCCCTTTGGCTTCCCTGGGGTCACAGAGAAATGGAGGAAATACAGATGTTGGATACAGGCTATGGTTCTCTAGTAACATAAGATCTTTCCATCTTTAATGCTGGTGTGTGTGTGTGTGTGTGTGTGTGTGTGTGTGTGTGTGTGTTTAAATGCATGCACATGCATATGGCAGTCAGTGGTCAGCCTTAAATGTCATCCTCAGGAGTCATTCATCTTGGATTTTTCTTCTTTTTCATTTTAGGCAGTTGTTGGGGGTGTGTGGTTTGCATGCTGTAGCACGTGTGTGGAGGTCCGAGGATAATTTAGAGGGAGTTGGTTCTCTCTTTCTGCCACATAGCTCTCAGGAATCAAACGCAGGGCATCAGACTTGGCAGCAAGCTCCTTTATTCTCAGAGCCAGCTTACTGGCCCTCATAGGGTTTTGGGGGGGGGGGGGACAGAATCTCTCAGTGAGACCTGGAGTTAACCAGTTTATCAAGGCTGACTGGTCACTGAGCTCCAAGCATTTATCCCTATCCAACTCCCCAGCACTGGGGTTACACAATCACGCCACCACTCCCAGCCTTTTCACATGGGTTTGGGGGTTTGAACTTGGGTTCTCATGCTCGCTCAGTGAAGCCTTTCCCAACTGAGCCATCGCCCTGGGCCACAACTCAGCATCTTTAACAACTTCCCAGGTACAAGTCCAAAGTTTCTTCTTGCGTAATGGAACCCCCTGAGCTCCTGGTCTGTACTAACACCCTTGCCACTGATGCAGCTGCCCACCAGGTGGGAAGAGACATGCTCCCCAAATTCATCTTGATTTTCCATAGGGGTTCATCCTCATGCAGATCTCTAAGCGAAATGAGTTCCCCAGTTGGGTAGTTAGCACTTCTGACAGCTGTGTCAGGAA